AAAAAAAAAAAAAAAAAAAAAAAAAAAAAAAAAAAAAAAGCTTATATCTTCTTATATCTTTCCATAACAAAAGTATATCTTCTGTGGATCCTCACTCTTGGCTTTCCAAGTGTTAAAATAACCAAGTACCTGTGTAAGTTTTATATCACCTATGTTATTTTTAGGAAACACTTTAGAATTCTTTTTAGCCAATAAATCCAGTTTCCAAAGAGTGTGCTTGGTGCTGTAGAGATGTGAGCAAGAATAAAAATGATTTCTGACTTAATTTATGGTCTTAAACTAGCAGGAGAAGCAGACATACACATAGTTTCAAATGACGGCAGATTCTGGGAAATGAAAAATAAATTGCTATACTTTATAGGAAAATGCCATGGAAAGTAAAATCACATTGTTATTTATTATTTTTACTTATTTTTTACTTGGCATTTTTCTTTACCTGTTTTGTTGTAACTAAGAATAATTGCCCTATTGGGTTTAATGTATTTATGCTATAGACCTTGTAGCAATGAGGTTTATTAATGTTTTGTATTTTTTAGCAGATTTTATCAGATCCTGATAGGTTTATTAATGTTTTGTATGTCATTTTGAGGTAATAAACTCTTGGACTCTTCCATCCCTAGAAAATCAGGTGTAAATGAATTAACATCTTTAACCTGAGGAGTCTATAACTATGAAGCAAACAATTATAATCAGCTCTGTAATATTTAATTTTATTTGCTTTGATTATGCAGTTTTGGAGACCCCCAGTGCTTGCTTTTCCTCTTCTCTTGTGGACATTGTAATCTTTATTGGTGTCACAGCCTGCAGGTGGGCAGAGGAAATGAAAGAAGCATATCTGTTATTTTCTGTCTCAAAGAAAGGCAGTACGGGAGAGGAGTCTTAAATTCAGAGGAATTTTTAAACATTTTTTAAATAAATAAAAAAACAAAAATAAAATAAATTAAAAAAAAAAAACCAAAAAACATTTTTTTTTTGTAGACATGAGGTTCTTTCTATGTTGCCCAGGCTGATCTTGAACTCCTGGCCTCAAGCGATTCTCCTGCCTTGGCCTCCCAAAGCGCTAGGATTATAGCCATGTATCACCTCACCTGGCCAGTCAGAGGAGTTTTGATCCTTGAAAGTTTGGACTCACTGCTGTTTTAAAATTATTTTGTTTCTTTTCATTTCCTAGATTAGTGTGAGTTTTTATGCTGGAAGCTATTTTCCACATATCCTATGTGCTAAATGGATTGCATAGCAGGTAGCAGAGGGAAATAAATTTCTAGCAATGAAAGGACAAGGTTAAGAAAGTGTTTTTCTAGCCCTGGGGTATTTATTTAAAAGAAGAAAATTCTTGGGTACTACCCCAGAGCTCAAATAGAATCGAAGTATGTGGGAATAGGTAGAAACTTGCACTTTAGGCGTCCATTCCAGGTGATTCACGTGCGTACTAATTTCTGAGAACCACTGGGTTAGGGGGTTAGAGGAAGATGTTTACATCAAAATACTGATAGAATTATAAAATCTAAAAAGGGGAATTTGTGTAACATTCTATGTATTATTGCAGGTAAGTAATCATTCTTACTTTGTGTTTTAATAAAATGATTAGTAGGCCAGGCATGGTGGCTCACGCCTGTAATCCCAGCACTTTGGGAGGCCGAGGCAGGCAGATCACTGGCTGTGATCACTGGCTGGTTTGACACCAGCCTGACCAACATGGTGAAACCCCGTCTCTACTAAAAATAGAAAAATTAGCCAGGCATGGTGGTGTGCACCTGTAATCCTAGCTACTTGGAAGGCTGAGGTAGGAGGCAGGAGAATCACTTGAACCTGGGAATCGAAGGTTGCAGTGAGCTGAGGTTGCGCCATTACACTGCAACCTGGGCGACAAAAGCAAAACTCTATACAATTTATAATTTTCTGGTACTCACATTACTTTTTCGTAAGTCACAAGTGAAATTAGTTTTAATGATATATTTTATGTAAACTGATATATCCAAAATATCCTTTAATGTAATCAACATAAACATTATAAACAAGATATTTTAAACATTTTAAAATATAATTTCTTTTTTTTTTTTTTTTTTTCCCCCAAGAGACAGGGTTTGCTCTGTCTCCCAGGCTGGAGTGCAATGGTGCAGTTACAGCTCACTATAGCCTCAATCTCCTGGACTCTAGCAATCCTCCTGCCTTAGCTTCCCAAGTTGCTGTTACCACAGGCATGTACCTCCGTGCCTGGCTAATTTTTTATTTTTTGCAGAGATGGGGTCTTGCTATGTTGCTCAGACTGATCTTGAACCCCTGGCCTCAAATGATCCTTCTGCCTCAGCCTCCCAGAGTGTTGGGATTACAGGCGTGAGCCACTCTGCTTGGCCCACAAGACATGTTGTGTTCCTTTTTTTCTAAGTCTTCAAAATCTGGTGTGTATTTTACCCTTAAACCATACCTCACTTCAGATTAGCCACATCTCAAGTGCTCCGTGGCCATGTGTGAGTAACAGCTAATGTTCCGGTTGGCACAGTTCTGTAAGATCACTTCCATGAAATGAATAAGCATTTATGCAGCCTGGATGAAGTGGGGTAGAACAAACTGGCAAAATAAGGAAATGTTGTCTTTAAAGAGGCAGATATATCTGAGAACTTTGAAAATTACTGTTTCTTTTAATTTACCAGTTAATGGGTATTTCTCTGATTTAAGCTTCTTTGGAATTCGAGCTACTAGATTGGACTTAAGCCATTACCACAATTAGAAATATGTATTAACCTGTAAATGTTCATAATAGTTTGCTGCCTGAAATGGGACAGTTATTAAATATCTTCACTGTTACAGAAAATTGTCAGGCCAGGCTCAGTGGCTCACGTCTGTAATCCCAGCACTTTGGGAGTCCAAGGCAGGTGAATCACCTGAGGTCAGGAATTCGAGACCAGCTTGACCAACATGGTGAAACCCTATCTCTACTAAAAATGCAAAATTTAGCCAGGTGTGGTGGCACGTGCCTGTAATCCCAGCTACTTGGGAGGCTGAGACAGGAGAATTGCCTGAACCAGGGAGGCGGAGGTTGCAGTGAACCAAGATTACACCATTGTACTCCAGCCTGGGCAACAAGAGTGAAACTCCGTCTTGGGGAAAAAAAGAAAAAAGAAAAAAAAATTGTCAGTGACTTGTTATTTAAATGATCTTTTCTTCTTTGGACTGCTGTTAATAGGTGGCTACAGTTTCAGAAAAGTCACGTATAATGGAACTGGAGAAAGACCTAGCATTGAGAGTACAGGAAGTAGCTGAGCTCCGAAGAAGGCTAGAGTCCAATAAGCCTGCTGGGGATGTGGATATGTCACTTTCCCTTTTACAAGAGATAAGCTCTTTGCAAGAAAAGTTAGAAGTCTCTCGTACTGACCACCAGAGAGAAATAACTTCACTGAAGGAGCATTTTGGAGCCCGGGAAGAAACTCATCAGAAGGAGATAAAGGCTCTGTATACTGCCACGGAAAAGCTTTCCAAAGAGAACGAGTCATTGAAAAGCAAGCTCGAGCATGCCAACAAAGAGAACTCGGATGTGATAGCCCTGTGGAAGTCCAAACTGGAGACTGCCATCGCGTCCCACCAGCAGGCGATGGAAGAACTGAAGATATCCTTCAGCAAAGGGCTTGGAACAGAGACAGCAGAATTTGCTGAGCTAAAAACACAAATAGAGAAAATGAGACTAGATTACCAACACGAAATAGAAAATTTGCAGAATCAACAAGAATCTGAACGGTCTGCTCATGCTAAAGAGATGGAAGCCCTGAGGGCTAAACTGATGAAAGTCATTAAAGAAAAGGAGAACAGCCTGGAAGCCATCAAGTCGAAACTGGACAAAGCAGAAGACCAGCATCTCGTAGAAATGGAAGAGACGTTAAACAAATTACAGGAAGCTGAAATAAAGGTAAAGGAGCTAGAGGTACTGCAAGCCAAATGCAATGAACAAACCAAGGTTATTGATAATTTTACATCACAGCTCAAGGCTACCGAAGAAAAGCTCTTGGATCTTGATGCGCTTCGGAAAGCCGGTTCCGAAGGTAAATCGGAAATTGAGAAACTTAGACAGCAGGTTGAGGCAGCTGAGAAACAGATTAAACATTTAGAGACTGAAAAGAATGCTGAAAGTAGCAAGGTTTGTATTGACATCCTCCATTTTTTTCTTTTCCATTTGTTATTCTTATTTTGCATTGTTACTTTTGAGTTGAGGTCATTCATCTTCCAAATCGCTGATTTAATTAAATTGCTTGATGTCCCCAGTTGAGTATAGTGTAGTATGTTCTGAGTATGGTTTCATCTGAGGAGATTAGAGAAAATAATGGCTTAACCACGTGAATTTATTTTGGTTGCCTATTATCTGGGTACCTTATCTATTAATCTCTGGGCTATGCTATGACCTCTTCTTTAAGCTTAGCTCCAGCCTATACTCTATTTAAAATATAGAATGCCCTAACACTGTGGTGTTAAGATGAATGAATGAATGAACAGAAACTTAAAAGATAGTCATCTAGATGACTATTCTTTGGGTTAAGTTAAAAAAAAAAGATTGGCTGGGCGCAGTGGCTCATGCCCGTAATCCCAGCACTTTGGGAGGCTAGAGTGGTTGGGTCACCTGAGATCAGGTGTTTGAGACCTGCCTGGCCAATATGGCGACACCACATCTCTACTAAAAATACAAAATTACCTAGGTATGGTGGTGGATGCCTGTAATCCCAGCTACCTGGGAGGCTGAGGCAGGAGAATCTCCAGAACCTGGGAGGTGGAGGTTGCAGTGAGCTGAGATTATGCCACTGCACTCCAGCCTCGGTGACAGAGTGAGACTCTGTATTTAAAAAAAAAAGAAACTTAAAAGATCATCTCCTCCGTTCCTAACCATGTACAGTCAGGTGCCACATAATGATGTTTCAATCAACAGTGGACCACATAAACAAAGGTGGTTCCATAAGACTATAATATGGTATCTTTACCTTTTGTATGTTTAAATATGCTTCGATACACAAATACTCAGCATTGTGTTACAGTTGCCTACAGTGTTCAGTACAGTAACATACAGGTTTATAGTCTTGGAACAATAGGCTGTACCATGTAGCCCAGGTGTGTAGTAGGCTATACCTTCTAGGTGTGTGTAAGTACACCCTATGATGTCCACACGACAGTGGAATTGCCTAATAATGCATTGCTCAGAAGGTATCCTGGTTCTTTTAAGCAATGCATGACTGTAATTGCCTTATCTGTATAAAAACAGAATGTGAGCTTAATGCTTCTTGACTATTAAAATTAACATGTTGGCCAGGCGAGGTGGTCACATCTGTAATCCTAGCACTTTGGGAGGCCAAGGCAAGTGGATCACTTGAGGTCAGGAGTTACAGCCTGGCCCCTCTCTACTAAAAATACAAAAATTAGCCAGGCGTGGTGGTATGCGCCTGTAGTCCCAGCTACTCGGGAGGCTGAGGCACGAGAATTGCCTGAACCCGGGAGGCAGAGGTTGCAGTGAGCTGAGATTGTGCCACTGGGTGACAGAGCAAAACTCGATCTCAAACAAAAACAAAAAAACATGCTGTGATAAATAACATTCACAGCAAAATTAAGGTTAAGAGCCTGGAGCACTTTGCATGGCAAAAAAACTCTTTGGAGTTTTTTCTATGGCACAATGAGAATACAATCTGTCCCCTCCTTCACTGGGGGAAATACTGAACAAGTGTGCATTTGGTCAAGGCTTAGGAAATTACATGAAACGTTCGCCAGTGGCATTCCTTTCTAACTAGCCTTGTTAAATATCATCTTTATTTTTAAGGATGGTTCGAGGAATTCTTTCCCAGTCCTGCTACTAGTTGAGGCGCTGGTATTGATGCTGAATGTTCTGAGCTTTTTGTGGGAGAAGCTGCTCTCTTGGCAAAGAAGGAAGGGTTGTGATAGTTAAATGGGGTGAGGTGAGGACTGACAAACAGCAGAAAATTGCTAACTAACCATAGTTGAAGATGACAAACTGGTTACAGGAAATTTTTCTCAAATCTCCTCATGTGGTACCAAAATACTAATCAAAACACAAAAATTAATTAGATAATATTTAGCTAATGTTTACTTTTTCACATCAAGATTTCTTGAAAGCCAAGTTCTAATAACTATTGTCCAGTATATATATATATATATTTTTTTTTTTGAGACAGAGTCTCACTGTGTCACCTAGGCTGGACTGCAGTGGTTCAATCTCGGCTCACTTTAAGCTCCGCCTCCCAGGTTCAAGCGACTCTCCTGCCTCAGCCTTCTGAGTAGCCAGGATTACAGGCACCTGCAACCATGCCGGGCTAATTTTTGTATTTTTATTAGAGACAGGGTTTCACCATGTTGGCCAGGCTGGTCTCAAACTCCTGACCTCACGTGATCCACCTGCCTTGGCCTCCCAAAGTGCTGGGATTACAGCCTTGAGCTGTCCAGCCCTGCCTGTCCAGTGGATTTTTAAATTTCATTTTTATTTAAATGTTGAAATACTTTAAGCATATACAAAAATAGAGAAAATAATGTTGCCCACATATATTCCATTCCCATCTTAAGGTTTTTGTTTTATTTATTTATTTATTTATTTATTTAGAGACGGAGCTTTGCTCTTGTTACCCAGGCTGGAGTGCAATGGCGCGATCTCGGCTCACCGCAACCTCCGCCTCCTGGGTTCAGGCAATTCTCCTGTCTCAGCCTCCTGAGTAGCTGGGATTACAGGCACGCACCACCATGCCCAGCTAATGTTTTGTATTTTTAGTAGAGACAGGGTTTCACCATGTTGACCAGGATGGTCTCGATCTCTTGACCTCGTGATCCACCCGCCTCGGCCTCCCAAAGTGCTGAGATTACAGGCTTGAGCCACTGCGCCCGGCCTATTTATTTATTTTTTAAGACAGAGTCTTGCTCTGTTGCCCTCACTGCAACCTCTGCCTCCCAGGCTCAAGGGATTCTCCTGCCTCAGCCTCTTGAGTAGCTGGGATCATAGGCATGTGCCACCACACCTGGTTAATTTTAATATTTTTAGTAGAGTCAGGCCATGTTGGCCAGGCTGTTCTTGAACTCCTGACCTCAGGTGAGGTCTGCCCGCTTCGGCTTCCCAAAGTGCTGGGATTACAGGTGTGAGCCACCACGTCCGGACTTAAGGTTTTTAAAGTCTAGGAAATGAAATTGCTCAAGTAGCTCATTTAAAAAGTAAGCATCCATACCTTCTGCTTCAGATCATGCTGATATTCCAAATTACAATGAAGCATAAACAGTCTATTTTGACTATTTAAAAATGGCCGCTGGGCACAGTGGCTCACACCTCTAATCCTAGCACTTTGAGAGGCCAAGACAAGAGGATTGCTTGAGTCCAGGAGTTTGAGACCAGCCTGGGCAACATGGTGAGACCCCCATGTCTCTTTTTTTTTTTTTTTTTTTTTTGAGACAGGGTCTCACTTTGTCACTCACTGGAGTGCATTGGCGCAGTCTCAGCTCACCACAACTGCCACCTCACAGGCTCAAGCGATTCTTCTGCTTCAGCCTCCTAAATAGCTGTAATTACAAGCGCACACCACCACACCTGGCTAATTTTTATATTTTTAGTAGAGATGGGGTTTTGCCATGTTGGCCAGGCTGGTCTCGAACTCCTGACCTCAAGTGATCCACCCTCCTCGGCCTCCCAAAGTGCTGGATTACAGGCATGAACCACCAATCCCGGCCAGAGACCCCATCTCAAAAAAATTTTTTTAAACATTAGCTGTGGTGGCATGTGCCTATAATCCCTGCTGCTTATGAGGCTGGTGCTGGAGGATCAGTTGAACCAGGAGTTCAAAGTTGCAGTGATCCATGATCACACCACTGCACTCCAGCCTAGGTAACAGGGGAGACTCTGTCTCAAAAAAAAAAAAAAAAAAGCCACTAGAAAATCATATATAGAACTGATTGTTAAAGAAGTCGTTGACCTCTTAGAATTAAAAACCAACAAGATAAGATTAAAACAAAAAACAACCACAAAAAGAATTAAAAACCAACATCAAATTTGTTGTACTCCTTTCAGTTTTGTTTTGTTATGTTGCTCATAAATTTTTTACATTTTTTTCTTCTCATTCTTTTTTGTTTTCCTTTTGTTCATTTAATTCTATACCATGTAACTCCGTGTGTTAGGCTAGTAGCATTACCAAAGAGCTCCAGGGGAGAGAGCTAAAGCTTACTAACCTTCAGGAAAATTTGAGTGAAGTCAGCCAAGTGAAAGAGACTTTGGAAAAAGAACTTCAGATTTTGGTAAGTACCTGTTGGGAATCTGAATCTCAGGGTTTCTGGCCACTTCCTGTTTTAAAAAAATCCTCCAGTAAGAAATATTGTAGTTGTTTGCTTTCTCTTTCTAAGTGTTGATGCAGCTTGAGTGTATTAGTTATTGGCTGGTAAATAATTGTCCCTCCAGGAGAGTCAGATCAAACCTAAACTAACAGCCAAGGTACGTATTACTTTTTTTTTTTTTTTTTTTTAAATCTATGCCTTTGCCTCTGTTAATGCACTGCTTTGAAATGTTATTGACTACTTAGTTTTGCTAAACACAGAGCCCTTCCAAGTTATACATCAAACACAGTTAGGTTTCATATTGAGTGAGGCACCTAAACTGTGCTTTCTCCTTGATCTGTGACTCTCAGGGCAGCAGTCGTCCTGGGCCATCGGCGCCCTCCTTTGGTGAGACAGAATGCTTGCCATCTAATTAAACAAATTCAAAGAAATCTAACTCAGTTTATTGCACCTAAGAAAATGACCTTCTCTTTCATGTTTTCTCTTTCCTTAATCTCAAGTTGTATGACATAAATATGTATATATTTTACCTTTTCTCAACTTTGTTCCTTCCTACTTGCCTCCTGCACTTTAAAACCAAGTTTAAACAAGGCTGATATGCACAAAGAGTGCCAATGGTGCCCACCCACACACCATGGAAAGAAAAGTCAGAGGCTTATGGAGAAACTAGACAAGAGGCATATGAGCCACTCAGGGTCAGCTGTCCCAGGTCCTCCACATCCCTTCCTATTACCCATTCATTACACTTCTGTGCTATTAACAGTGTGAATAAAAGTGTATGGCTCCTTTCTTTTCCTTTCTTTTCTTTCTTTCTTCCTTTCTTTCTTTCCTTCCCTTCCTCCCTCCCTTCATTTCTTTTCTTTGTTTTCCTTTTCCTTTTCCTTCTTTTCTTTTCTTTCTTCCTTTCTTTCTCTCTTGTCCAGGCTGGAGTACAGTGGTGCTATCTCAGCTCACTGCAACCTCCACCTCCCAGGTTAAAGAGATTCTCCTGCCTCAGCCTCCTGAGTAGCTGGGATTACAGGTGCACACCACCACACCCAGCTAATTTTCATATTTTTAGTATAGATGGGGTTCCACCACGTTGGCCAGGCTGGTCTCATACTCCTGACCTCAAGTGATCCACCCATCTCAGCCTCCCAAAGTGCTGGGATTACAAGCGTGAGCCATCGTGCCCAGCCTGGTGTCCTTTAAGAAAATCTTTTGAGTTCGTTTTTCTGCCCTCCTTCCAAAGCTTTTAGGAAACCTTGCCTTTTTTTCCCCCGTAAGTTAGAATATTCTTCCGTATATCTTAGGACAAGACATGCTACCTTGAGTGTGACTGTGGGAATGCACAGGGGGCAGCCTGTGGGCTTGGATACCCTGTGGCTTCTGCACCATCTTTTCATAATCCCAGCTAGTTAACAATACCCATGTAACAATCCTCTTGATGTAGCTAGCTCAAAGTTCATCTCAGGACAACTAGGAGAGTGATTTTTAACTTGGCCTATTGTCATGTTTAGAAGTCCTTGAACAGTAAGTGACTGATGGTCCTTTTCAGTTTAAAAAGTAGCGACACCGACCTAGATTCAAGATATTAGACTCAGATTACTCTCAGAAATAACAAATTTCAGAGCTTTCTTCACCATCTCAGGCAGATTTCTGAAGAGAAGGGCTGCTGTTTGAGGGGTAGCAACATGAAGCATACACGTGCACCATGTGTATACACACACATGCATGTACTTCCCTAGGTATGAACATGCCTACAGGTGCATGCAGGTGATGCCGTCCCATGCATGCACACACACACATGCAAACTGCACTGATGTGTGTGTATCCATGCACATGTGTATGACCCACATGTGGTAGTAATTGGCGTCACATGTTTCATGTATATTAGTTTTAATAAAACAAGACCAGCAACAAAAAGTCGATAGTGTTGTAGTTATAATTGACATAAACTCCTTATCTTTACAATGTGAAATCTTTCTGTTCAGAATCTCTGGTTCTTTTTCCTTAGAAAGAAAAGTTTGCTGAAGCTTCGGAGGAGGCAGTCTCCGTTCAGAGAAGTATGCAAGGTATGTCTTACTAGAGCTTGTGTAGATCGCTTTAAAGACTATCATACTCTTAGACTGGAGCTAGCCTGTGGAGTGCACAGAGTAGACACTGCCCGTAGCCTAATTTCACTCTCCTGGAAGTTCCTGCCATGCTCAGAAATACTGGCTTCCATTGGTTTCCTGAAGCCTCAAACTCCCAATTAATTTTTTCTTCTTCTGGCTTAAGGCTTGTTCTACATTAAAATGTAAATATTATTGGGGAGAGTGTTATTTATGTTTTCATCGTTAATAGCTTTATTGAGTTTTAGCTGGAAGGGGGAAAGAGATGAGTGGAAAGGGCCTGATGCCTCCCTAAAGTACAGATTTGGGGAGGCCAGAGAGAGCGGCAGACCTGCTTTTTTCAGGACGCACCCAGCAGTGTAATTTGTAAGGGGATTTTTGAGTATTCCTGTGTTCTCAGATCTCTTGAGCATACGATTTGATCCAGATAGCTTATTAAATATGAAGCTTATTAAACTTCTAACTTTATCCTAAATAGAAACTGTAAATAAGTTACACCAAAAGGAGGAACAGTTTACCAAGCTGTCTTCTGACTTGGAGAAGCTGAGAGAAAACTTAGCAGGTAAGAAGACATCTCTGATGACTAAACATTAAATACAGTAGGCTTCCTCATATTTGAGACAGTTGTAGGATGTTACATAACAAATGTACTATTCAAGCGTAGCCTCTTTACTCATTATGGTGACATAAAAACACGATGAAGTACTTGTTTGAGATCTGTAACCTACACCAAGTTCTCTTTGCTGTTTTCACGAGAGCCAGAATCTGCCACATTTCACCACTGCCACTGCTATCCTTGCTCCAAGCCAATGGCCGTCTTTCACCTGAGCTACCATAACAGCTGACCACCTGGGCTCACTGCTGCTGCCCATGCCTGCTTCAGTCTGTTCTCCACACCGCAGCCAGAGCAATCCTTTTAATATGAAGTCAGATCACGTCGCTTCTCTGCTCAAGGTCATCCAGCAGCTCCCATCCCATGCAGGGAAAGAGCTGTCGTCCTTACCATGATCAGGCCCTATTACCTCTCAGATTTCATCTGGGACCCCCGTTCCCTCCTCATTCCACTCCAGCCACCTCAGCCTGTTTGCTCGTGCTTGGACGTGTCAGGCGTGTTCCTGCCGCGCAGCCTGTGTGCTTACTTTTCCCTGTGCCCTCACTTCCTTCAGGTTTTCCCTTCCATGTCACCACCTTAGGGAAGCGCCATCTAAGATTCTAACCTTCTTCCCAGCTCCTTTCCCTGCATTGATTTTTCTTCCTCTTAGCACTTAATTAATTCTACGATTTCTTTCCTTTATCTTTCTTATTGTCTGCCTTCTTCACTAGAATGTGCTTTTTATGAGGACAGGAATTGCTTTGTGAAAATATTACCAGAGCAAGGATGCACTCAGCCAGTTTTTGTTGATTATGACACAGCCGTGCTATTCTTTTTTTCTCTATATATTTAGATATGGAGGCAAAATTTAGAGAGAAAGATGAGCGAGAAGAGCAGCTGATAAAGGCAAAGGAAAAACTGGAAAATGACATTGCAGAAATAATGAAGATGTCAGGAGATAACTCTTCTCAGCTGATGAAAATGAATGATGAATTACGTCTGAAAGAAAGGTATAGATGACTGTTGATAAGAGTGCCCACCTTAGGCTCTGTGGGAAGGTCTAGGTGGGAGGGAAGACAAATGTTTAGGATTATTATGTTTTAAAATCTCCCATCTCTGTTCCTTTCTATTATTACCTCATTGTGTCCTTGAATAAGCTATTTAACCTTCTAAAATGGGTTTTACCTATCTTACTTGTCAAGAACAACAGAATTAAGGAATATAATATTATTTATGCACCATTTGGTGACTTATAAAGAAAAGATAATAAGGCAGGGGCGCAGTGGCTCATGCCTATAATCCCAGCACTTTGTTTTTTTTTTTTTTTTTTTTTTTATTTGAGACGGAGTTTCACTCATGTTACCCAGGCTGGAGTGCAATGGCGCGATCTCGGCTCACTGCAACCTCCGCCTCCTGGGTTCAGGCAATTCTCCTGCCTCAGCCTCCTGAGTAGCTGGGATTACAGGCACGCGCCACCATGCCCAGCTAATGTTTTGTATTTTTAGTAGAGACGGGGTTTCACCATGTTGACCAGGATGGTCTCGATCTCTTGACCTCGTGATCCACCCGCCTCGGCCTCCCAAAGTGCTGGGATTACAGGCTTGAGCCACTGCGCCCGGCCCAATCCCAGCACTTTGGAAGGCCAAGGTGGGTGGATCATTTGAGGTAAAGAGTTCGAGGCTAGCCTGGCCAACATGGTGAAACCTTGTCTCTGTTAAAAATACAAAAATTAGCTGGACATAGTAGTGTCTGCCTGTAATCCCAGCTACTCAGGAGGCTGAGATGGGAGAATCACTTGAACCCAGGAGGTGGAGGTTGCAGTGAACTGAGATTGTGCCACTGCACTCCGTCCTGGGCAACAGAGCAAGACTCTATCTAAAAAGAAAGAAGAAAAGAAAAAGGTAGTAGTTCACTAATGGCAATAATATCTTTTATGGGCAGTTAAAAATATTTTTAACATTTTTTTTTTGAGATAGAGTCTCACTCTGTTGCCCAGGCTGGAGTGCAATGGCTCAATCTCTGCTCACTGCAGCTTCCACCTCCCAGGTTCAAGTGATTCTTCTGCCTCAGCCTCCCAAGTAGCTGGGATTACAGGCATGCGCCACCATACCCAGCTGATTTTTGTATTTATAGTAGAGATGGGGTTTCACTATGTTGGCCAGGCTGGTCTTGAACTCCTGACCTCAAATGATCTGCCCGCCTCGGCCTCCCAAAGTGCTGGAATTACAGACGTGGGCCACCATGCCTGACCTTAACTTGTTTTAATGGGAAACACATATTACCTATCACTATGGGCTATGCACCGTGCTAACAGCTTTCTAATTCTTATCATTATCCTATGAGGTGAGAGGAGGTGAGTTTAGCATTATTCCCATTCTAAGGAAAAAGAGGCCAGGCACGGTGGCTCACCCCTGTAATCCCAGCCAATTTGGGAGGCCAACGCGGGCAGATCACCTGAGATCAGGAGTACGAGACCTGCCTGACCAACATGGAGAAATCCTGTCTCTCCTAAAAATACAAAATTAGCTAGGTGTGGTGGTGCATGCCTAAAACCCCAGCTACTGAGAAGGCTGAGGCAGGAGAATGACTTGAACCCGGGGGGAGGTGGAGGTTGTAGTAAGCCAAGATCGCACCATTGCACTCCAGCCTAGGGAACAAGAGCAAAACTCCATCTCAAAGAAAAAGAAAAAGAGGCTGGGCATAGTGGCTCACGCCTGTAATCCGAGCACTTTGGGAGGCCGAGGCAGGCAGATCACCTGAGGTCAGCAGTTTGAGACCAGCCTGGCCAACATGGTGAAACCCTATTGCTATTAAAAATACAAAAATTAGCCAGGTGTGGTGGCGCACACCCGGAATTTCAGCTACTTGGGAGGCTGAGGTGGGAGAATCAGTTGAACCCAGGAGGTGGAGGTTGCAGTGAGCCAGGATCATGCCACTGCACTCCAGCCTTGGCAACAGAGCTAGACTCCATCTCAAAGAAATAAATAAATAAGGTCAAGGGTGGTGACTGACACCTGTAATCTCAGCACTTTGGGAGGCTGAGGCAGGTGGATCATCTGAGATCGGGAGTTTGAGACCAGACTGACCGACATAGAGAAACCCTTTCTCTACTAAAAATGCAAAATTAGCTGGGTGTGGTGGCACATGCCTGTAATCCCAGCTACTTGGGAGGCTGAGGTAGGTGAATCACTTGAACCTGGGAGGCAGAGGTTGCAGTAAGTTGAGATCGCACCATTGCACTCTAGCATGGTCAACAAGAGTGAAACTCTGTCTAAAAAAAAAAAAAATTAATAAAATTAAAATTAAAAAATAAGGAAGGGAGGGAGGGAAAGAAGCAGGGAGAAAGGGAAACTGAGGCTAACTGGGGTTAAGCCTGATGTTTCAGATCTGGGCAGTCTGGTCCCAGAACCCTTCCTGCTCTTAATAACTGCATTGTACTTCCTCAGTGCTCAAGTTTCTTCTGTCTTAATATCTGTTATTGTCTTTATTCTGGAATTCTTGTTGCTTTGATCTTATTCTTTTAATAGCTGTCATATAAAAATCAAATAATTTATAAGCGAAGATTTATAAATGAAGTCTGTAGGCATTAGACTTCTTAAAAGTGTTAATATCTGCAAAGTTCTTTTTGTTGTTGTGTTTTTTGTTTTTTGTTTTTTTTGAGAGAGTCTTGCTCTGTCACCCAGGTTAGAGTGCAATGGCACACGATCTCTGCTCACTGCAACCTTCACCTCCCAGGTTCAAGTGATTCTCCTGCCTCAATCTCCTGAGTAGCTGAGATTACAGGCACCCGTCACCACACCTAGCTAATTTTTTGTATTTTTAATAGAGATAGAGTTTCACCATGTTGGCCAGGCTGATCTTGAACTCCTGACCTCGTGATTCTCTCGCGTTGGCCTTCCAAAGTGCTGGGATTACAGGCGTGAGCCACTGCACCTGGCTGCAAAGTTCTATTTATTAATATATCCAACCTTTCACCCCCACACAATTCAGTCAGTGCTGAGTGTAGCCAGGCCTTGGTTGGGCAACTGTGGTCAAACTTGCCTTGGTGGTGGTGGCTCAGTGTCTTCAAGAAGCTCCATTTTATAGGTGTTTTGTGAATGTAAAATCTAGAATTACCCCCAAGTTTCCCTTGTGTATCTGTGATTCATCTGAGAGTCTGTTTTCTAGGTCAATGTCCCATATTTTATAAATTATTTTATAAATTTATTTTTAAATAATATATAATTTATTTATTTATAAAATAAATAAATTATTTTATAAATTTATTTATTTATAAAATAAATTATTTTATAAATTTATTTATTTTTGTTCAACCACATGATCCCTTTAAGGTAAAACTTTGAGTTATTGTGATTTTTGTATCTTCTGTTCTTCAGAAGCACTAGAATGAATTTTTGGTAATCTAGTATGCTAAAATTTTTAAATGCCCATTTCCTTTATTTGTTTTTAATTGAGACGGAGTCTTGCTTTCTTGTCCAGGCTGGACTGCAGTGGCTCAATCTCGGCTCATTGCAACCTCGCTCTATCAGAGTCAACCAGTTCTCCTGCCTCAGCCTCCTGAGTAGCTGGGATTACAGGCATGTAATCCTGTAATCCAGGTGCCACCACACCTGGCTAATTTTTGTATTTTTAGTAGAGATGGGGTTTTGCCATGTTGACCAGGCTGGTCTTGAACTCCTGAACTTAAGTGACCCATTTGTCTCGGCCTCCCAGGGTACTGGGATTATAGGCATGAGCCACCATGCCTGGCCTCAGTTCCTTTAATATGTTTATTTTTTACTCTTTCTTTTTTTTCTTTTTTTGATCTACTGACATAAAATAGTAAACCTTCACAATTATAGTAGTTGTTACTCTAAATAATTACTTATCATAATTGGTAAAATGGCTCTGTTTTGTTTTGTTTTGTTTTTAAAGATGGGGTTTCACCATGATGGCCAGGCTGGTCTTGAACTCCTGAACTCAGGTGATCCACCCACCTCGGCCTCCCAAAGTGCTAGGATTACAGGCGTGAACCACTGCGCCCGGCCGGTAAAATGATTCTTTAGGCAAAGCATTTAAAATTTTTTCGCCTATTTTAGATGTTATTAATTACACATAACTTTTAAAAATCATTAATATAGGCCGGGTGCCATGGCTCACAACCTATAATCTCAGGTCTTTGGAAGGTCGAGGTGGGCGGATCACCTGAGGTCAGGAGTTCGAGACCAGCCTGGCCAACATAGTGAAACCCTCTATTAAAAGCACAAAAATTAGCTGGGCATGGTGGCAGGTACCTCCTAGCTATTCAGGAGGTTGAGGCAGGAGAATTGCTTGAGCCTGGGAGGTGGAGGTTGCAGTAAGCCTAGATCGCACCACTGCACTGCAGCCTGGGTGACAAGAGTGAGACTCGGTCCCAAAATAAAAATAAAAATTAAAAATTATTAATACCATTGTTATTAATAGTATATTTTAATATAAATCTTAAATTTAAAACATTCTTATGAAAAATCTGACATCTTATATCGAAACTTTTTCTAGATATGTAGAAGAATTACAGCTCAAACTTACAAAGGCTAATGAAAATGCAAGTTTTCTACAAAAGAGTATTGAGGATGTGACTCTCAAAGCTGAACAGAGCCAGCAAGAAGCAGCTAAAAAGCACGAGGAAGAAAAGAAAGAATTAGAGAAGAAATTGTTGGACCTGGTAAGGAGAGACTCAGTGGGCCTGTTTGCTGGCAAGGAAGGCAAGGGGCAGTACACATATGGCTGGATGACTCATTCCCTCACTTGGGGTCTCTGCAGGAAAAGAAGATGGAAACGAGCCACAACCAGTGTCAGGATCTGAAAGCCAGGTATGAGAAAGCCACTTCCGAGACTAAAACCAAGCATGAAGAAATTCTGCAGAACCTCCAGAAGACGCTGCTGGACACAGAGGACAAGCTGAAGGCCGCACAAGAGGAGAACAGTGGCTTGCTGCAGGAGCTGAAGGAGCTGAGAAAGCAAGCTGATAAAGCCAAAGTACGCGATGGGAGAGAATTGCCTTGTGCTGTAGCTTGCCTGAGCTCTTTGTCAAGGCAGGAAGGGTGCTTAGAAAGCAGCAGTCAGTGGGACAAGTTAAGGTGGCCTCTATAAATGTTACTCTTCTCAGTGCATGGCAGGTGGCACATTATGTTTCCTATGGCTTCAAGTGTTTTGTGCCAGCTGCTATTCCTTCTGAGGGTCAGTGATGGCTGCAGGTCTTTACCGGAATGGACGGTGCAGCTGTCACCCCCGTGCTGCCTGTTTCCCAGCTGTCACAAAGGTTCTGACGCTGCCTGAGCTCTGCTTGCCTACTTGTTGCTCTAATCTTGGCCATGCTTGTTGCTGCCTTGCACTAGTTAGGAGAGACGTTGCAATAAAGCAAGAGGCAGAGCTCACGTGAAGCAAGCGAGCAAGGAGTCAGGATGAGAGAGAGCCTGGTTGGAGGAACAGAGCTCTTCTAGGAAGAGTTAAAATTGAGAACTTACAGAGGGGCTTTTAGGTGTCCCCAGGAGGGTACCGTGAGCTTATTGACAAGGAAGCTGGATTCAAGGGCAGGGAGGAAACATCCTGTTAGTAGATAGAGCAGAATTCTATATGTTGGATTTTATTTTATGGTTTCAGGATTGTATCTGTGCCCAATACATATCTTTTTCTTTTTCTTTCTTTTTTTTTTTTTTTTTTTTTTTTAAGAGAATGGAGTCTTGCTATGTTGCCCAGGCTGGTCTCAAACTCCTGGGCTCAAGCAGACCTCCCACTTCAGCCTCTTAAAGTGTTGGGATTACAGGTGTGAGCCACCGTGCCTGGCCTGCCCAGTACATTTTGTGACTCTGGTAACTTCATGAAGTTCAACCTTCCCACTATTTAACCTTTTATTGCTCAAAGGAAAGTAAATAATTCATTTTTATTTATTTTTAAGGTGTTATAGGAGTTTAGTAGAAATGATAAAAGAGCATGCATAGGACTTGAAACCAATCCCATGAAAAACCTCCTAACTAAGTGGACATGACATGGTATGTATGTGCCATGCGTGTCATCTGTGAAACCCATATTCTCCCTCTTCTACACGCTGATAACTGAGGATTTCTCTTCTTTCTCTGAAACACCTCCAGTTTTATGTGCCATTTAACACTAGATATAATTCCCAGATCTTTTGTCTTTGTGCTTTCTTTTATCTGGGAAGACTTCAGGTTTTTTTTTTTTTTTTGTATTGCCTTTAAAATGTTGCAGCCTGAGCAAACCACAGCATTCTAGAACTGTTTTAAGGTTTCCTCAGTTTTTTTGTCTGTTTTTTGAGACAAGGTCTTACTCTGTCACCCAGGCTGAGTACCATAGGACAGTCATGGCTCACTGCAGCCTCAAGTCATCCCCCTCCCTCAGCCTCCCAAGTAGCAAAGACTAAAGACATGTACCACTATACCTGGCTAATTTTTTATTTTTTGTAGAAACAGAATCTCACTATGTTGCCCAGGCTCGTCTTGAATCACTGGATGGAAGCAATCCACCTGCCTTAGCTTCCCAAGGTGCTGGGATTGCAGGTATGAGCCACCATTCCTGGCTGGTCTCACTAATTTTGTTGGTTGTTTTGTGCAAGGGTCATTGAGTTAAAATGCCAGGACTGTTTCCCTTCAGAGTTGTCTGGTATCTGATTTCAGTGGCTCTTATCAGTCCCAGACTCTTTGGAAAAATTTAATGAAATCTACAGATATTTTTTCAGGAAAGTTTACATGTGCACTCAACAAGGTTCATGGTGCCCACAAAGCCTCCTTATTCCCTACTTTTAAGAGCCAGTGGTCTATAACTGTGCTGCTTAATACAGTAGCCACCAGCCATGTGAAGCCATTCAACTTTAAATTTGTAGCCAGGTCTGGTGGCTCACTCCTGTAATCCTAGCACTTTGGGAGGCCAGGTGGGCAGATTGCATGAGCTCAGGAGTTTGAGACCACCTTGGGCAACATGGTGAGACCCTGTCTCTACTAAAAATACAAAAAATCAGTCAGGTGTGGCAGCATGCACCTGTAGTCCCAGCTACTCGGGATGTTGAGACAGGAGAATCCCTAGAGCCTGGAAGGTGGAGGTTGCAGTGAGCTGAGATGGTGCCACTTCACTTTGGCCTGTGTGACAGAGCAAGACTCTGTCTCAAAAAATAAAAAAATAAATAAAAATAAAAACCTTAATATGGGAATATATGTGGCCTACATTGTATTCTCTATTTTTGAATATGCCTAAAAGAGGATCACTTGAACCTGGGAGGCAGAGGTTGCAGTGAGCCAAGATCATGCCAATTCCCTCCAGCCTGGGCCACAGAGTGAGACTCTGTCTCCAATAAATAAATAAATAAATAAATTTAAATTTGTTATATTTTAATTACAAAATTAGCATAGACACTGTGGACCACATTTCAGGTGACTCTGTAAATTAAAAAAATAAACCTATTTATTTTAGTTATCAAAGCCTAGAATTTAGACTAGTTTTTATGTTTATATGTGACATTTGGACTAAATCACTCTCAGCCCCATGGCTGTCCTTAAGTAAGGTCCTGTGGTGAGTTTGGAAGGCAATAGTTTATTTTGTTTGTTAGGCCCCTTCCTTTTTTCATTAAAATATACTGACTTTATGTACTTCTTTTAATTGTATTTTTAAAAATTCTTCTATGAATCCTTTCTGCATTCAAAATAATTAGATAATTGGAATGGCAGGAAAGAGTTTTATGCCCTGATGTCAAAATGAAGCTACTATTTTTATCTTCTAGGTAGCTACTGGGAATAATTTCACAAGTTGTTTCAAAGATAAAATAAGCTAGCAGATATGGAAGCACTTTGCAAAGCTACGCTTTTGAATTATCTTTTGTGGGCTCTGTTTAGTTTCTTTCCTTTGTTATTCAGATAGTTTCTATAAAGTTTATTGTAGAAATTTAAAGCTTTTATCATTTATGTTACATTAAGTTATTTGGGCTTGCATTTGTCTGCTTGATTTCATTTTTGTTTCCATTCTTTCCATCTTTTGTTTCTGTAGTCGCTAACTTATTTGTTAACATCAGCCAAAAAAGAAATTGAACTAATGACAGAAGAGCTGAGGGGTCTGAAATCAGAGAAGCAGCTTCTTTCGCAGGAGGGAAATGATTTAAAGTTAGAAAACGGTTCACTTTTATCCAAGTTTGTAGAATTGGAGGCCAAAATAGCTTTACTTCAGGGAGACCAGCAGAAACTGTGGTCAGTGAATAAAACTCTTAATTTAGAGAAGGAGAAATTCTTAGAAGAAAAGCAAGATGCTGAAAAGCTTTATGAGCAAGAACATCTCAGTAAAGAAGCTTTGGCTGTTGAGAGGGAGAAACTGCTTAAAGAAATCAACGTAGCACAGGAAGAACTCTTGAAGATAAATGTGGAAAATGACTCTTTGCAAGCTTCTAAGGTGAGCATGCAGGCCCTCATCGAAGAACTCCAGCTGAGCAAAGATACTTTGATTGCTAAGACTGAGAAGGACCAGGAAGAAAAAGATCACCTGGAGGACCAGATCAAGAAACTTATTACCGAAAACTTCATCTTGGCCAAAGATAAGGATGACGACATTCAGAAGCTTCAAAGCTCTTATGAGGAGCTAGTCAAAGATCAGAAAACTATGGTACAGGAGATTGAAGATCTCACAGCTGAGAAAAAGTCAGCTTTAGAGAAACTGTCCAATCTCGATAACACGTGCATATCCTTAAAGGCAGAACGAGATAATGTTCTTCAGAACAACAGAGATCTGCAATTAGAGAAGGACATGCTGCTTCAAGATCAGGAAAAGCTGAATGCCAGCCTCCAGGCTGCCCTCCAGGTCAAACAGCTGCTCCGCTCAGAAGCCAGTGGGCTCTGTTTACAGCTGGATGATGCCAGCAAGGCCTTGAGGAAGGCAGAGCTGGAGAACATGCAACTCCAGGCCACAAACACAAGCCTCACGAAGCTCTTGGAGGAAATTAAGGCCAGCCGGGCAGTCACAGACTCCGAGTGCATCCAGCTTCTGCATGAGAAAGAAACTTTGGCTGCCTCCGAGAGAAGGCTCTTGGCAGAGAAAGAGGAACTTTTAAGTGAAAATAGAATCATCACTGAAAAACTCCACAAATGCACAGAAGAGGCTGCCCATACTGAGATGGGCCTGAATGAGAAGATCGCTTACCTGACTTCTGAGAAGGAGATGGCTTCTCAGAAAATGACTAAACTTAAAAAGCAGCAGGATAGTCTCTTGAAGGAAAAATCCGCACTGGAAACACAAAATGGAGTTTTACTTGCAGAGAGAGAGGATTCCATCAAAGCCATAGGAGACCTCAAAAGGCAATATGATCAAGAGTCTGCAAACAGAAGGATAATTGTGCATGAGAAAATGAAACTCCTTGGTAATATTGATGCGCTGAAGAAGGAGCTTCAAGAGAGAAAAAAGGAAAACCAAGAACTAGTGGCCAGCAAGTGCGACCTGTCTTTGATGCTGAAAGAGGCTCAAAATGCCAAAAAGAATCTAGAAAAAGAACACACTCACATATTGCAAGCAAAGGAGAGTTTGGATGCTGAACTTAACACGTGTTGTTCCGAGAAGAAGATTTTGCTGAGAGACGGCTTGACCCTGCAAGAAGAGTGTCAGAAATTAAGCAAGGAGATCCAGGAAATGCAGCAGTCCTTAATCCTGGAGCAGGAAGCCAGAGCAAAGGAGAGCGAGTCATCCTTGTATGAAAACAATAAACTTCATGGGAGGATGGTGCTCCTAGAGCAGGAGGTGGGGGAGTTAAGAGTGTGTATTAAGGAGCTGGAGTCCCAGAAGTTTGTGCTACTCCAAGAGAAGACCAAATTGGAGCAAGAGGTGGCAGCGATCATTGAGGAGAAGGAACTGTTGACTGCAGAAGCAGTTCAACTCGCTGCCCATATAAAGACTCTGAAAAGCGATTTTGCTGCCATGTCCAAATCCAAGGCAGAACTGCAGGAACTGCACAGTTGCCTCACCAAGATTCTGGATGACCTTCAGCTTAACCACGAGGTGACCCTGGCCGAAAAAGCCCAGGTGATGCAAGACAACCAGAACCTCTTGGCTGAGAAAAACGAAATGATGCTGGAAAAGGATGAGCTCCTGAAGGAGAAGGAAACCCTGGCAGAAAGCTATTTCATCCTTCAGAAAGAGATCAGTCAGTTGGCCAAAACCAACAGCCATATTTCAGCCAATCTCCTAGAATCTCAAAATGAAAACCGTACTTTGAGGAAAGACAAGAGCAAGCTTACCCTTAAAATTAGAGAGCTCGAGACTCTTCATTCACTTACGGTAAAGTGAGAGGTCAAGTGTTGAGCACCCAGACTGCTTACTAACACTGTGCACTAACTCAAGTGGCCTAGATCACCTTTCTTCATTTCTGCTTAGGGAAATCCACCTCATTAAGTCAGTTGCTTATATGTTTCAAGCTGTTTGTTACAGTCTGAAAGGGAGATTTTTTTTCTTTTTTTTTTTTTTTTTTTTTTTTTTTTTTACCAAGTATCTCATTGCAGTATTCTCTCCCCATTTGAGAAAATTGCAAACTGTGAATAAAAAGGATTTCTTTTTAAATTTAACGAGAAACTTTGTGAAAAAGTTAACTGTGGTTTCTTAAAGGCTTAGGAGCCATAGTGAAAGTCGTCCAGGTACAGTGACTCATGCCTGTATTTCGACACTTTGGGAGGCTGACGTGTACAGATGGCTTCAATCCAGGAGTTTGAGACCAGCCTGGACAACATAGCAAAACCCGGTCTCTACAAAAAATACAGAAATTAGCTGGGCATGGTGATACATGCCTGTAGTCCCAGCTACTCAGGAGGCTGAGGTGGGAGGATTGCTTGAGCCCAGGAGACAGAAGTTGCAGGGAACCAAGATCAGGCCATTGCACTCCAGCCTGGGCAACAAGAGTGAAACTTCGTCTCAAGGGGAAAAAAAAAGCAGTGGTGAAATTGGCACATATTGAAATATAGAGTCTTCTGTTTGGCTTTTAACTATTTCATTGTGTCTATCCATTTGGAGTTGGAAGATTCCATTGAAATCTTCATGGCTGATAATTGGATAGGGATAATGGAGAATTTTCATAAACTTTATTAGACCAATAAATTATAAACAAGTGCCTAAAAGGATTTTTTAAATTAATTAATTAATTTATTTTTAAGACAGAGTCTTTCTCTGTCACCCAGGCTGGAGTATAGTAGCGTGATCTTGGCTCACTGCAACTTCTGCATCCCGGGTTCAGGCGATTCTCCTGCCTCAGCCTCCTGAATAGCTGGAATTACAGGCCCCCGATATCATTCACGGCTAATTTTTGTAATTTTTTTTTTTTTTTAAGTAGAGAGGGGGTTTCATCATGTTGTCCAGGCTGGTCTTGAACTCCTGACCTCATGATCTGCCCACCTCAGCCTCCCATAGTGTAAGATTACAGGCATGAGCCACTGCAGCTTGCCTGTTCGTTTGTTTATTTTTTAAAGGTGGAAATCTTGCTGTGTTGCCTAGGCTGCTCTCGACCTCCTGGGCTCAAGCAATCCTCCTGTCTCAGCCCCCTGAATAGCTGCGACTATAGGTACATGCCACCGCACCTGGCTATATTTTGATTTATTTTTGTGGTTATTTTTATATCTAATTTTTTTTTTTTTGAGATGCAGTCTCACTCTGTCACTTAGCCAGGAGCCTCCGCCTCCTGGGTTCAAGCGATTCTCCTGTTTTAGCCCCCTGAGTAACTGGTACTATAGGCGCATGCCACCACATCTGGCTAATTTTTGTATTTTTTGTAGAGACGGGGTTTCAGTATGTTGACCAGGCTGGTCTCGAACTCCTGACCTCGTGATTTCCCTGCCTCAGCCTCCCAAAGTGCTGGGATTACTGGTGTGAGCCACCACGCCTGGCCATATCTAACTTTTTATAATTACTTTTTATAGCAGCTAAGAATTGGTCTCCACATGCCTCTTTTTATTCATAGCCGTGTTTTTATTCATTGCCCACAGCTTGCATTAAATGCTTCTCATTAAACACTTCAGCCTTATGTTAGAAGTGCCCAAATAATTTTGATATTTATTTGAAAAATCCTCAACCTAAATTTGACTTCAAAAGCCCCAGATTTGAAATAACAAGGATAGTATTTTAAACCTTTAATAGTAAATATGATTCCAAGAAATTCAGCTACATAAGGATGTTGTTCATTGTTACCACTGAATAGTCTTTCAAGCATAAGTCAGAATGAAGGGAGCATGCTTGCCAGTTTAACTTGGAACTTTCATTGGAAGATGTATGTTTAGAGGTTCTGAAAACATGCAAATTGCATAACAATTGACATTGAAAAATGGCAGGAAAGGGTCTGCATATTCTACTTCAGAGTAAAGACCTTTCTTGTCTTAGTCTGTCTGTTTCAGCACTGGATTGGTGACTGATTCACCCTCTCTGTGTGCCTCCCTTACCTACACAGACACTGAGTGCTGCCTGAACAGCACAGCCCGATCCTTACCTGATGGTGCCAGTGAGGGGTGTCCTCATTTCTCACAGTGTTTCCTTGTATTTAGGCTGCTCAAACAGCAGAAGATGCAATGCACATAATGGAACAGATGACCAAAGAGAAGACCGAGACACTGGCCTCCTTGGAGGACACCAAGCAAACAAATGCAAAACTACAGAATGAAGTAATCAGATTTAAATGGCTTTTTGTACAAAGAACAGCTTACCGACTTCCTGGAATGTTTGATCACTAACTCAGGATTGCTTATGTTTTTGAAGTGTGGCCTTACACAGGTTTGAAATGTATGCCAGAGCCATGATAATATTTAATAAAGTGTATCACTTCATTACTTATTAGGATCAAACTTTACAAATTGAGGAAAAAACCTTAATAGCATGGGTTTCTAAGATAACTATTTAGTGATAGCACTAGCAAAAGGAGGTACTGATGGCCTGCTCTAGCTTTTGTATCCTTTGTCTTACATCACACCCATTGTTTTTTTCTCTTCTCTTTCCCAACTTTGAGCCACTAAATTTCGTTCCTCAGCCCTGAGTTTGATGTAGGCCTTTTCTTGGCCCAGCTCAGTACTGATTTCCTTTTGTACCATCTTGAATGAGTCACTTTTGGAGCTGGGACAAATCTGTGGCGTCAAGATATTTTGATTCTGTCCACAAGTAGCATTTCTCCTTCTGTAGCATTTCTCCTCCTCTTGATTTTCCTGCTCCCACCCTCCCAGCTCGTACCAACCTTTGTTTGGAAATCTGTTACCTAAATCCTAATACTGATGTACCAAAATGGTTATGTGAAGTCCTATGGAACTTCAGATGCTTTTTTTTGTTTGTTTTTTTGAGTTGGAGTCCTGCTCTTGTCACCCAGGCTAGATGGCACAATCTTGGCTCACTGCAACCTCCACCTCCCAGGTTCAAGCAATTCTCCTGCCTCAGCCTCCCAAGTAGCTGGGATTACAGGTGCGCACCACCACACCTGGCTAATTTTTATATTCTTAACAGAGACAGGGTTTCGCCATGTTAGCCAGGCTGATCTCAAATTCCTGTCCTCACGATCCGTCTGCCTCGGTCTCCCAAAGTGCTGGGATTACAGGTGTGAGCCACTGTGCCTGGCCCAGATTGTTTTAAAAGTAACAGGCAGGTAAGACATTAAGGAAGGAAAACAAGGGGAAGGCGGTGACCAAACTGAGGAGCCACTGTAAAAACTAGGACTCCTCGTTATGGAGGTCAAGGATCAACTTCTCAAAGGATCCTTTGAGATGAACATTTGGAGGTAATGGTAGGGTCAATAACACTTCACATTGAAGGAAGTACATTTAAAGAAGGAACAATCCTAAGAGAAGATGACTTAAGCTAAAAATATAAAAGCATTTAAAAACATAGCTGTTAATCAAAATTAGAACCTGAAGTAAATGAGATTTTAGGGAATGTGTCTAACCTGCAGCAGTGGAATTGGTCCTTCTACCACAGATCCCTTTGTGTCTTTGTTATAGCCAGTATACAGGGTTGGATGAACCATATTTTCGGACCCATTGTGATATTTTGTTTTTCTTGTTTTGTTAATCTGGAATGTTAAAAGGTGTTAAAACGAAGATGTTGGTTTTAAAATGAGCAAGACACTTTCTGGGACTCCTGACTGGTGGCATGTAGCATGGCAAAAGGAGATAGCTCCCTTTTCTGGCTGTAGGAGACAACTTCCCAAGGCCCAGGAGCCACCCTGAGGAATGGAGGCCCACATGAGCTACCATCCTTGGTGTGGCCTCTACACCTAGAGTTCCAGCCGCCTGCCAGAGCCTGTGATCAGTCACATCCCCACTTATCCCAGTAACAACTCTGGCTTTCCACCAAGGGCCAGGCCCACACCTGGCTGCATCCCCATGGGCCACTGATGTGGCTAAGTGGGTGTGAGTGCTCTTCAGTCCCACGTTATAGCTTTTTCCTCTTCAGTTTCAAGTTCAGATGGGTAACTAAATTTTTTTCCAATCTACAAATAATTTTGATTCAAATAAATAATTTTTGTAGTGAGGACTATGTAAATCTGGTACTGACACTGAAAACTTTCATATCCTGGCCGGGTGCGGTGGCTCATGCCTATAAGCCCAGCACTTTGGGAGGCTAAGGCAGGCGGATCACCTGAGGTTGGGAGTTTGAGACCAGCCTGACCAACATGGAGAAACCCCATCTCTACTAAAAATACAAAAAAAATTAGCCCAGTGTGATGGTTCATGCCTGTAATCCCAGCTACTTGGGAGGCTGAGGCAGGAGAATCGCTTGAACCTGGGAGGTGGAGCTTGTGGTGAGCCAAGATTGCACCATTACACTCCAGCCTGGACACAAGAGCAAAACTCCATCTCAAAAAGGAAAAAAAAAAAAAAAATCATATCGTAAATCACTAATCTTTGGGGAAAGAAAAGGGCTTCTTTTCATTACAAAGAATAATCCTTGCTTATGTCATTACTTTGCATTTTATTTCTATTTTTTTTTAATTAATCATATTTGGTTAGGAAGTTCAGTGGTAAATGCTGAGAATTGTACACAAGATGAAAGAAAATTTTACTTTTGTGTAGCAATTTAGTTTGACATTTTGGCCAGGTGTACAGGATATGTCAGACTAAATGTAAGGAGGAGGTTTACAGTTTGTAATAGACTTGTCATCTGAGACTCAGGAGACTTTTTTTGCAAGTGACTAATTTCATCTATCTTTTCAATACACATTTTCATGAATAATTTGTACATTTATGTCATTGGAAAAGGAAATAATTTCATCAAGTTTTTTTCTCTTGGTCTTTAAGTTGGACACACTTAAAGAAAACAACCTGAAAAATGTGGAAGAGCTGAACAAATCAAAAGAACTCCTGACTGTAGAGAATCAAAAAATGGAAGAATTCAGGAAAGAAATGTAAGTTTATCTCCTTTGAGAAAAATTATGGAATTTATTTTAAATTGAAAAAGTGAATATAGTGCTAATCATTTAAAAAATATTTGAAGGCCAGGCGCGGTGGCTCAAGCCTGTAATCCCAGCACTTTGGGAGGCCGAGGCGGGTGGATCACGAGGTCAAGAGATCGAGACCATCCTGGTCAACATGGTGAAACCCCGTCTCTACCAAAAATACAAAAAATTAGCTGGGCATGGTGGTGCGTGCCTGTAATCCCAGCTACTCAGGAGGCTGAGGCAGGAGAATTGCCTGAACCCAGGAGGCGGAGGTTGCGGTGAGCCGAGATCGTGCCATTGCACTCCAGCCTGGGTAACATGAGTGAAACTCCGTCTCAAAAAAAAATAAATAAAAAATAAAAAATATTTGAGAAGTACATAAAGTATGCAAACTCTGTTGCATACCCTGGAGGTAACATCAGTAACCACTGTTAAGTCAGAACCACATCTAAGTTAAAGGATCAGAATGAAATGTGTACTGGCTGATGAGTTATGTTGGGGATTCAAATGTGACTTTGGGCTGGGTGCGGTGGCACATGCCTGTAATCCCAGCACCGGGAGGTCAAGGTGGGTAGATCACTCGAGCCCAGGAGTTTGAGATCAGCCTGGGCAACATGGTGAAACTCTGTTTCTACAAAATATACAAAAATTAATTGGGTATGGTGGTGCATCCCTACAGTGCCAGTTACTTGGGAGGCTGAGGTAGGAAGATCACGTGAGCCCGGCAGGTCAAGGCTGCAGTGAGCCATTATCATGCCACTGTACTCCAGCCTGGGTGACAGAGTGAGATCCTGTCTCAAAAAAAAGAAAAGAAAAGAAGTGACTTGAAAGCCTTATGAAAGTACAAGTAGAATCAGAATAGCCAGTCTTAACATTTGGTCTCCAACTCCTGACCTCAACTGATCCTCCCTCCTCGGCCTCCCAAAGTGCTGGGATTACAGGCTTGAGCCACCACACCTACCCAGCCAATCTTAACATTTGGAAATGTCAGACCCTTTATTAGCAAGTCCCTCAAAATTCTTTTTATAGGAAAAACAAACAGCATGTCACTTTCTACATTTTCAGTATTTCAATTTTAAGAGTAATCAAATCATCTGGCATGGAAATGAAATGACTAGCATTTTTGGAAGACTTTAAAATTAAAGTTTACACATCAATTTGTTTTATGGTTTCAGGCAGACTGTTCATACTTCCTTTGTTGATGCTAATTCAGTTCTTGCCTTTCAAGTTTGACTAGTGTAGTTATTAGAGATTGGTATTTATCTGACATTTTAAAGAATGGTTACAGTGTAGATTTCGTTTGGTCTTCTGTTAACTACACTGTATCAACCATATTAACCTAAAATCCTAAAGCTAATTAACCTGGTGAACATTTGAATATGTCTGTGTGTTTCATGGTAGATACGGTTAAGGTAGGAAGGATACAAAAGGTGAGTATATACAGTCCCTGCCCTTCAATGATTTGTTTCATTTATTTCCAATCCTAATACATAGATGAGATTCAAACAAAAACAAAAGCATCAGTTCCAAAGTCACCATCCTCAGTACTATTTGTTGACTGAGCTTGGATTAAACTAGCACGTGTGGTTCTTCTGAGAGTTTTACATTTTCCTAGGAAAAATTTGATCTGAGCTGCTCCTGTGCACATCTCATGGTATCAGTGATTTTCTTCTTCAGTCCTAGTTTTAATGGTGGGTCTCTAGATTATGTGATTATGTTTAAACAGTTCTAACAATTTCATTTATGCAGATTTATAAATTTACAATTGTGATTATGGTCATTGGGGAGGCTTCAGTTTCCTTGGGCTACCAACATCAAATGACACAAATAGAAGATGGATCACCAAGACAGGAATAACAAAGTCATTTGTTGTAACGTGATAGTTTAGTTGTATTCATTGAGGAAGTGGGTGCAGGTACAGTTTAGGATTTCTTTTTCTGGTGACACAAGTCATTTTGCAAATCTGAAGGGCTTTGGAGCACCAGGTTGAATTCCTGTGTTGTGTCCCACAGGCAACTGGTGAGGGAGCGTGGGATCTGCCACGGGTGACTCCCTCACCAGCCTCCACTGCGGTAATCCCACCACCAAGCTTCCTGGGTCCTACTAGGTGACGGAGGGGCAGGGCCAAGTGGACCTGGCCAATAGAGCTCTTGGGGTTTAGATAAAATTCTTGTTTTCTGCAGTACGACTTAGGAGTCTTTTGTTGTTATTGTTGTTTGTTTGTTGTTGCTGTTGTTTTCTGAGACAGAGTCTCACTCTGTTGCCCAGACTGGAGCGTCGTGGGTGATCTCTGCTCACCACAACCTCTGCCTCCCCGGTTCAAGTGATTCTTGTGCCTCAGCCTCCTAAGTAGCTGGGATTACAGGCACATACTGCCATGCTCTGCTAATTTTTTTTTTTTTTTTTTTTTTTTTTTGAGATGGAGTCTCACTTTGTTGCCCAGGCTAGAGTGCAGTGGTGCAATCTCGGCTCACGGCAACTTCCACCTTCCAGGTTCAAGCAATTCTCCTGCCTCAGCCTCCCAAGTAGCTAGGATTACAGTTATGTGCCATGACACCCAACTAATCTTTGTATTTTTAGTAGAGACTGGGTTTCACCATATTGGCCAGGCTGGTCTCAAACTCATGACCTTGCTGTCCACCCACCTTGGCCTCCCAAAGTTCTGGGATTACAGGTGTGAGCCACCATGCCTGGCCATATTTTTGTATTTTTAGTAGAGGTGGGGTTTCACTATGTTGGCCAGGCTGGTCTTGAACCCTTGGCCTCAAATGATCTGCCTGCCTTGGCCTCCCAAAGTGATTGGATTACAGGCATGAGCCACTGCGCCAGCTCTTAGGAGTCTTTTGTTGCAGCCATTACTAGTATTCCAGTGAGATCACCCTTTAATGTTCAGAGTCTCACTGAATCCTGTCATGTCATCTACCCCCAGTTAGCATGGGGTTGTTTTCACCCCATGAAGACATAAATTGTTTTCGTGCACCTCTCCTTTGAATTATTTCATTGACTAATAAAAGCTTAGCTGAGATTCTGGCTACAGCTGCTGTTGCGCTAACCCCAGCCTGTGCTGAGCTGTTCCTGCTGCTGTGCTTCCCAGACCTCTGATCCCTGAGCTCAGTCATTCAGGTGAGGAGGAACCAGATCCCAGGCAGAAAAAGCCTCGGCTGCTTTGGATTCTCTACCTTTTTTTGCCCCAACAGATGTGAGGGAATCACATTTTCTTGTCAGTGACATGACGCTTCATGGCCAGGACTGTTTACAAGAGGCAGGAGCAGTGGGAGACATGTTGATAGCGTTCCACGGAAGCGGGCACAGGAGGTATGGGGAGTAGGTTGAAAAAGCCCCTACCCCTGATGACTGGTGGCTCCCTGGTCAGATTTCAAGGGCCATCTGCTGTAAGAGGACTGTGTAATGGGAACATGCTTCTCAAAACACAGCAGTCACTTTGCCTTTCCCTAGTCTTATTCCTCAGGGCTCAAAGCTGGAGAATGAACAGCCGCTTGCCTCTTCCGTGGTTTAGCGTGTATGGGATTTCGTGTGTCCTCTGGAGCTTTTTTGGGGTTTCTCCTCACCTAATAGGACTGTGGTTCCTGGAGAAAAAGAGGCACCAACATAGACCAGGGTTTCTTTTTTTCTTTCTTTCTTTTTTTTTTTTTTTTTTTTTGAGACAGGGTCTCACTCTGTTGCCCAAGCTAGAAAGCAGTGGCAGCTGTCTCAGCTCACTGCAGCCTCCACCTCCTGGGTTCAATTCAGCATCCCACCTCAGCCTCCTGAGTGGCTGGGATTACAGGCACGCACCACCACGCCCAGCTAATTTTTGTATTTTTAATAGAGACGGGGTTTTGCCATGTTTGTCAGGCTGGTCTCAAACTCATGGCCTCAAATGATGCGCCTGCCTGGGCCTCTCAAAGTGCTGGGATTACAGGCTTGAGCCACTGTACTCGGCCACCTAGGAACCACTCCCTCTAGAATATTGCCCTTGCCCCTGGAAAGCAGCACTTGTAACTGAATGTTCTTTTCCTGTGTACCACTTACAAGGCTGGTTTTAAGAAAGCTCTTGCTTGATTTCAGTTAGCCAGCTCCTATTTTCAGTTGGGGATCAACAATAAAAGAGTTTCTCGTGGTGTATAATTTTGGATCTTAGGGAAAAAAGGATATAAGCAATTTAATTTTTTTTTCAATTTTTAAAATTCATTAATTATTATTATTTTTTTTAAAAAGACAGGGTTTCACCATGTTGATCAGGCTGGTCTTGAACTCCCGACCTCAGGTGATCTGCCCGCCTTGGCCTCCAAAGTGCTTGGATTACAGGCGTGAGCCACCACGCCCAGCCAAGCAATTTAATTTTTGTCTTTACTCACCTGGCACAGTAGTAAATCTACAATATATTTAGCATGATAATAGATTTATGATGGATTTATAAGTAAAATGTTTGCTTGTCAATATTAATTATGTTTATTTTGTCTTCCATTTTAAGCCTACAGTCTTTTCTGTGTCAAGGTATCTTGTCATGTAGAAAGAAAAGTAGCTTCTTTAAAAACCATTGGAAATATTTTTGTGGCTATTTTGAGAATCATTCTTTGAGTATTTCCAGAATTTGGGTTATCAGAGCCTCTTTCCTCTATGAAATGAATTAACCCGCTACCCACTAAAGAAAAAATGAAGTGCCCTATATCTGAATCACGACTGAAGTCATCTGCCAATTGTAGCTCCTATTCTTGTGGTTTTGCTGCTTACTGGCTTTATGATTTGGGGCAAATCTGTGTACTTTCCAGAGCTTCAATCTTCCTGTTAAAACATAAATAACATTAGCCTCCTTGGGCTTCCAGGATTAAGTGAGAAAATGGACATGGAGGCATTTTGTACATTTTAAAACACTAAATTTTGTTTTTATAGGTCAGTGCTTTAGGCCACTTTGGCCACTTTTAGATTACTTCCTTGATGCGTTGTTTTAAATTTTCTTTTCTGTGGGCTTGAGAGAGAAGGAACAAGAGTGTAAATGTAGTACTTTGACAGGCCACACACATGCAGACACCATGTAGCCACTCATGAAGACAGTGACCACCTGGAAAATATGACGTTTGGCTTACGATAATTTTACCATAAGGAAATCTGATTTGTCAAGGATTGATGGACTTGGACAGATGAACTTTAGCTGTGATATGTGTGTATGCATGTGTACATACATACATATATGAATAGAGATTTGTATATATGAATCTCTTTCGTGAGTAACTAGCTGAGGCTAAAATTCCCTCTCAGTTTTTCTTTAATTGCTAAATAAACATCTCTGTAGAAAGCCTAATTAGTATGCCAAGAAAATTTTTGTGTAGATTTATTTCCCTAAGTCTTCCTGAGGTCATCCCAGTGTGCATATTATAGGTGGATGGAGAATTAAAAATTGAGAAAATCGAATGTGCCGAGAACCGCCACCCATTAGACAATTGAAGTTAAAAATAGATGCGTTCATGCATCAGCAGATGGATTCATACCCAGATGACTTGATTCAGAATTCAGCCATGTATGACAGCTTGCTAAATGGAGTTTAACCAACACAGACGTACTTAAAATTCACAATTGCATCAAAACCCTCTAGAGCATAAAACTAAGATTTAGTGATCAAATATTGTGCATATTCATGTATAAAGGATAATGTTTAGGATGTATGTTTTTGATTATTTTAAGAACAGGAAGTTGTTTAATAAATATAGCTATCCTGTTCATATTTTCTATGGTTATTCATGGTATAGGTTAGCAGGTTGTATTATATTTTTATTTGCTTTTTTCAATTATAAATCAGCATTGTGGAAAGACTATCAAAATAAAACACCTGTTATGTAATTAGAAAACTATTTCCTTTGGGCATTCCGCCTCTAGTTGTCCTAAAATTATACTCAGATTTACATCAGCACTTGACTCTGACAGATACTGGTAAATGGGACCATTGGATTTTTATTTCTTCCAGAGAAAAACAAATTTATAGATCTGTGCAGTTAGAACAGAGTGCCTTGGCAGCAAATTAAATCACTTTATCAATGAAGTGGATTTTAGTAAAATAATCTAAGGGAAATATTCCTAAACACAGGAGGGCTGACCATCTCTTCTGCCATGTATTTTATAGCAAAATTCCTTTTTTATGGTGTAAGTTTGAGTGGTGGGAGGGTGGGCACAGTGTTTATTAGGTTCTGAAAAATGTAATAATTGTGGGTGGCAGTCCTCCTTTTGGGAGGTTATGGCCATTTAGCCCTTCTGCATGTAGATAATACTGTCTGCTGTTATTATAGATCCTATCAGTCACGTGACCCAGATATATTTTCCTCAGTGCTGTGAAGCTGGTTGTCTCCCACAGTTTCCTTGCCTGTCTTGTTTCTATGGTAACCCGGCACTCACTGTCCTTGCAGAGAAACCCTAAAGCAGGCAGCAGCTCAGAAGTCCCAGCAGCTTTCAGCATTGCAAGAAGAGAACGTTAAACTTGCTGAGGAGCTGGGGAGAAGCAGGGACGAAGTCACAAGTCATCAAAAGGTCAGTGTCCTTTGGTGGGGGTTTCCAGCTCTGCCGTGCCAGCTGCTGCTGCTGTTGGCAGCATGCTCAGAGGCTACTCAGAGGTCTGCTCAGTGTGGTGGGGTCATTCCAAATGGAATTCCAAGTTACTTGTGCTATGTGTCTCCTTGTTTTCAAACGTACTGCTGTAGGATTTAGGGTAGGAACGATTTGACAAGTCCTTTAAAAAACACACAAAATACTGGAACTTCCAAGCAAGTAGAAAATATGGTCTTTATTAGACAATCTTACAGCTAAACATTTAAATAGAAGGGGACAGTATCTTCTACCTACTACTACTTGGATTTCAAAATTATTTTTCTCTTAAGATTTTTTTCACTTTGATCAAAACTGATTTTGAAGAACAGATTCCAAGAATATAGATTTGGTGTGAGTGTTGGCAACTGATTTTTAATAGAACTCTGCTTTTCTTTAAATTAGAAAACATGCTTACGCCTTTCCTAATGGAACTGTGCATATATGTGCCCTTGTGTGCTTTGGTAAATATAAAATATATGTTACAACTGGAATGAACTACAAGCAGACCACAACCTGTTTGCTTCTATATTTAAATTACAGAGGTTTCTTACAGAAGTTAAACGTGGCAACAAAACTGATTTTAAAGGAAGCTGTATTCTACCTTTTATTCTTCTCTAGCAGTTGAATCAAAGTGCTGAATTGTGAGTCACATCTGACTTCAGAGCAGCAGCTTAGAATTACATTTTTAAGAGACTTTTGCTGTGTAGTCATTCATTCTTGCTTTGTACTCCAAGGGGAATTTTTTTTTCCCATTATATGTTGCAAACATTAATTCTTACTTGGAATGGAGTAATTTGGGGTAATTGTACGGAGTAGCCATTGACATGGTGCAGTTTGTGGCAAAAGCACTTTTTGGAGAGTTAATTTTAGACTTTAAAATCTTCACTATCACTCTCCACAATTTTCTTATTTTGTGAAAGAAATGCCACATCTCTCCAGACTCCAAAATGATGACGATGCTATTGGTGATAGTAACTAACACTTATGGGCTCTTGCTATGTGACGGCACAAATAAATGGTAGCTATCATCTCAGTCCCTGCCATAATTCAAAGCAATAGCACTATTATTATCCCCATTTGTGAAAGGGGAAATGGGAGCACAAAGATGATAGTAATTTGTTCAGCATTACTCGGTGAGTAGTGTCAAGAGATGTCATCTTCTGATGGGGGCCAAGGAAAGAATCAGTGTGTTGACTTAACTAGGGTCACTGCACTCTCCCTTCATGAGTTTGTGGGAAACTGGAGTTCATGAAGAATCAAAGACCATTGACCAGCAGGGGTTCTTTTTTTCTGGCATAAGCTGAAACACGCACATCATTTGGCATCTCCAGTATCAATGTGTCCACAGGGACTTGGAAGAGAAGAATTTTGGCTAAGTGCTGAGTCTATTCCCATCTTGTATCATTTCATTGAACATCTCTGGTAGAGAGAATGGTTTCCATAAATAGGAGGAACATACAGAGATTATCCTCTTATCTTATGCTGTGACTTTAACTGAACTGATGATTATAGTTCTTGTCTCTGTCACTCAGAACCAGAAGGGATTCAGGAGACAACATGCTTCCTTGTTTAGAATTTCCCACAGTTTCTTGCCTGTGTTGGACTCCTCTCTATCCTAGCAGCTCTGTTCTTTTTTGCAGTAGAGATTTCAGTTAGCTTCCTACTGAAAAGGTTTTGTGATTTAAAAATGTAAAAATCAGGCACTTTGCAGAGTGATAGAAAATAATGCCTACAGGAACAGGGGGATGGTGGGGTGCGAGTGAAGAAGTGACTTCCTTTTAAAGAATGGGGTGGATTCTTATGCTACTGGTAGTTTTCTGTATTTAACTCAGAAGGAGAAATAATATGGGTGTGAACTAAAATGTGATAGGCTTTCATGATGGAGATTGTGGAAAATATTGATTACCAAAAAAGATTACAGATCATTCTTTCCATGGAATATATATTTCAAAAGAGTGGAGTGAGCCACCCATTTAAAATAACTTAGAAGCAACCTTAGTTTAATAAAGACTGATTAATCATGGGGCTCTGTTACTCTCTTACTGTATCATTTCCAAGAATTCTATAAAATTTCACTTAGTTGCTTTCTACAGTTAAGTCAAACTATTGATCAGCTGTGTTAGAAATATAAAGCTATTGTATTTGGCAGAAATGCTATTTAAAAAAAGATTTTCAGGCCGGGCGCGGTGGCTCAAGCCTGTAATCCCAGCACTTTGGGAGGCCGAGGCGGGTGGATCACGAGGTCAAGAGATCGAGACCATCCTGGTCAACAAGGTGAAACCCCGTCTCTACTAAAAATACAAAACATTAGCTGGGCATGGTGGCGCGTGCCTGTAATCCCAGCTACTCGGGAGGCTGAGGCAGGAGAATTGCCTGAACCCAGGAGGCGGAGGTTGCGGTGAGCCGAGATCACGCCATTGCACTCCAGCCTGGGTAACATGAGTGAAACTCCGTCTCAAAAAAAAAAAAAAAAAAAAAGATTTTCAGTTGTAGTACTACAGAAAAATTTACTTTTTCATTCTAAAATTGAGACAGTGGAGACTAGATTGACTTGGGAAAGGTAAATACTGACCCATGACCCAGGAATCTCTTCTGACTCCTTATTTAGAAGCACCATAATTTGTTGAATTGAGCTGATTGCTTTACCATAATTTCATGGAATCATCACAACCTACCTGAGAGATAGTAGGATTATTTTTAGACAGGAAACAGGCTCAAACATGAACTAACTTACCAAGGATACACAGATAGGCAGTGGAGGAACTGAGATTTGAAATCATGTCTGTCTAACTTGAAAGAAAGCCTGTTTGTCCAGCTGCTGTCCTATACTGAGAATAAAACTTATTTCTACTTACTTCATGATTATTGTTCAAGATTTTTAAAAAGCTGTGAGCTAGAAATGGGGTAGGTGGGGTCAAACAGTGCTCTAAAAATGCACTTGGAACACTACCGGTACTTTTTTTTTTCCTGCCTCAAATGTTTTGCTTAGAAAACCCAGGGCATCTCAGAATCTTGCCATTCACAGGTCTGCTTTTGTGTCTTTTCTTGTCTCCTTTCCCATTTGGTAAGTGTATCTCATTCTTAGAGGCCCATGTTAATGGTCATTGCCTCTGATCTCAATCAGAGTGAGCTCCTGCCTCTCTGCAGTGCCCTGATCCTTAGAACCCAGCACTGTGGTCAGTATCATGTGCTTCTGCTTCTCCCAGACTGTGAGAAAGTAGGAATCATAGAGCACCACTTGTAGGTTTGAATGAATGGATGGGTATTTGGTGAGTATCTTGTTTTTAGCCAGAGCCCCAGTTTCTGTTTTATAGAAAAGAGACTTTGTGATTGCTCTTTCCACTTTTTTAGATGATTCCATTTACCTCCAGTTTCATAACTGTATTAGGGTTCACTAGAGGGACAGAACTAATAAAGAGGAGTTTATTAAGGTGTATTAACTCACACAATCACAAGGGCCCACAGGAGGCCATCTGTAAGCTGAGGAGCAAGGAAGCCAGTCCGAGTCCCAAAGCTGAAGAACTAGAAGTCCAAGTTCGAGGGCAGGAAGCGTCCAGCCTGGGAGAAAAATGTAGGCTGGGAGGCTAAGCCAGTCTAGCCTTTAAGCATTCTTCTGCCTGCTTTTTTTTTTTTCTTTAGCTGGAGTCTCACTCTGTATTCCAAGCTGTAGTGCAGAAGCTCTATCTCGGCTTACTGCAACCTCCGCCTCCAGGGCTCAAGTGATTCTTGTGCCTCAGCCTCCCTAGTGGCTGGGACTACAGGCGAGTGCCACCACACCCAGATAATTTTTTGTATTTTAGTAGAGACTGGGTTTCATCCTGTTGCCCAGGGTGATCTCGAACTCCTGAGCTCAGACAGTCTGTCCACTTCAGCCTCCCAAAGTGCTGGGATTACAGGTGTGAGCCACCACACCCGGCCATCTGCCTGCTTTTTGTTCTGGTTGCCATGACAGTTGATTAGATTGTGCCCACCCAGATTAAGGGTGGGCCTGCCTTTCTCAGCCCATTGGCTCAAATGTTAATCTCCCTTGGCAACACCCTCCCAGACATACCTAGGATCAAGACTTTGCTTCCGCAGTCCAGTCAAGTTGACACTCAGTATGAACCATCACAATAGCTTTTTTTGGAGAGCTGTACTTGCCAAAAACCTCATCGCCAACTTAGTAGGGCATTTGCTTTCTGCGTAGCTAGTAGAAGCATATAGTGTAAATTCAGGCAGGGTCATGTAGTTTAAGATTATTGGAAACCATACAGAGTATTCATTTCTTTTTTTAAGAGATAGGGTCTCACTGTGTCACCTGGGCTAGAGTGTAGTGATGCTATCATAGCTCACTACAGCCTCAACCTCCTGGGCTCCCAGCCCCTATTTTCTTTTCATAGGGAATTCTAAAAATAATGTTAGTTCTTCTACAGAAATAGTCACCTTAGGTAGTCACTTTTGATATGTCTGATTTATTGTTTCCAAACCTCAACATGTGTTCCCCCTTGTAAAGATAGCAAATACAGTGAGCTGTCACTATGGGAACAGAGCTGATTCTCCCCCTGGCTATTTGTGGAATGAGGTTACAGTTTGCTTATGGAAACTGGACAGGGATTAAATGACTCCATAAGTGTATTTCATGAACAGTTTTTCCTAACAGAGTTTACAGCAGATGTGTTACACAAAAAAATTGGGGTTAGCAACTAAATTGATCATGAATAGTCACCTGCCATTTAAATGAGCCTGAATTCCCAGACATGAATGCTTAGAAAGGGAAAGCTATTTTTAGCTTATTGTGTATTAGTTTGGAAAAATGGTGGTTATCAGCCATCATATTTTTAATCTGGGCTCAGGGGACTTCTGGGCAACTAGGGCCAATTGAAGCGAGATCACCGCCTCCTGCTCTCTCCTTTCAGTACCCAATGCTACGAACACAGTTTTTCTGTATTAAAAAATGTGTCCAG